GCAAAGAAATAAGGTCAACTGTGTCAAATCTTTCTGGGAGCATTGGTAAAGGGGATTTTAGTTTGTAACACTTATCCCAATTTATAATTTAGTACAGTATTTATTGATAGTTGTATGTTTTGTGGCTTTTTCTCCATTTAAAGTTAATCTGCTGAACACAGCTTCTGAACACAGCTTGCACAGAACACAAGCAACATACAATGGCAGTGAGGTGAGGCAAGACAGAATGTCCTGGGGCTGACTCTGTCATCACCACCTCTTGCCATGAAGCCTAGAGAGTTAGCTGCTCCTCTACTCCAGCAACCAAAGCTAGATATCACATGATATTCCAAATTGGCAAGATCAAGTTTGGTCCTTCTGAGAACGTGCAGTACTTGAGAATTGTTATGGTGTAGATCAAGAATGTCTCTCAAAAGTCTCAACTGTTCAGATGTGGGTCTCTGGGAATGTGGTTAGGTCGTGGGGTCTCTTTACTTAACATTAGATTAACCTATCAATGAGTTCATAGCCAAATATACTCTTAGGATGTGGGCCCTGGTTAGAAGAGGTAGGTCATAGAGAAGTGCCTTTGGGGAGTACATCTCTCTCTCTGGCCTTTCTTACTTTTCCTGCTTCCTAGCTGCTGCAGGTTAAGCAGCTTTTGTCCCTACACCATGCTGTTTCTGCCTTGGAGCCTACTGTCTATGGACTGCATCTCTGGAACCACAAGCCAAAATAGGCCTTTCTGTTTGTATGTATGTATATGCAGGATAGTTAACATGGCTGTTCTACTGTCTTGTATTTCTTTGCTGAAAGAAACTGTCAATGAGTCCTTGGTTGATCAGCTTTGTATGTCTATATATGTTTTCATGAGAAACCAATTTGAAGATATCAATATGTAATACAACAAGCATTGTTAATTCCCTACCACTCTGTTTGTAACTCTGTACTGCCTGTACTGTTCCTTTGCTATTTTGTAAAATGTTGACTGTCTGTTAATATTTTCCTCCTTTTATTTTTAAAATAAATAAAAAACAAAATAGGCCTTTCTTTCTTGAGGATATGGGTTTCAGGTATTTTGTTCTAGAAACACAAGAGTTGAGTTATACATAAAATATTGCTTGCATCTAAGAAAAAACTTTTGTCTTGAGAAGATTTCAAATTTTTTATTTTAAAGGAAACAAAAAACAAAATTTCAAAACAAGATGATAGGAGTGTAACAAAGGCTAATATATTGTGTATTGTTATCTTCAGTTACTCAGAGTACAAGACATCAATCAGCATTTAACTGTCCAAACAAGATTAGCACAAACCTTTCTTTTCAATTAACTAAGAGAAATTTCAAATTTGAGTTGGTACTCAAGTTATTCCAGCATGATGCTTCCTCTGTCTACTGAGAGCAAGTCATTCAACCAGTCGAAGTCAGAAGAAAAGGTTTTATAAGACCTTCTATTAATGGACAGAAATATCAAACTTATAGTTATCCTTATATCACTGATTCCTCAGATGACATGTCCATTTTTACTGATATATGATCCTAATGGCTTCTGAATGTTACTTGAAATTGGACTTTCAACTTTTGCAAAGAACACAGACAAGACCTCCGACGTTCAATGTTGATAAGGATTCTTAATTGTATCTGTATGTAGTGTCAGTATCTGTTTCTATCTTCAACTAGGATAATATCTGTCTTAATCAACTTTGTACATTGAACACTCAGAGTAGAGCTTTTAAAGTGCATGTTAGATATATGAGTACAGGATTGAATTAATGGAAGATAAATGATGGTGTGGAAGTTCTTCTATATTCTTTTTTCAGAAAGACATAGTGTCTTTCTGAAGTGATGGTGTGAATGTTCTTCTATGTTCTTTCTTCTGAAAGACATAGTGTCTTTCTGAACATGTTCAACACAACTTTGTGTGCAAGACTCTTTATGTTAGAAGATGTTATTGTGTGAAACTGCAAGGCACAAAGAACTTATCTTCTTTCATTTCCTTTTACAAGGCAAGACCATTTAGAAATGGTTAGGACATGGTGCTGGCTACATTTGAGTCCCAAGCAACAAGTAGATTGTTTCTGTTGGTATAGGTTTCAGCATGCTGGCCAGGACCTGAGATGAGGGGCAGGTGTAAGGCCATAGGAAGCCTAATTATAATAGGACCTTTGTATTTTGGAGGAAGATGAAAGCATATGAGTTTCCACAGGGATTTTGTTCCAAAAAAAGATGCAGAAAGGCCATGGGTTTAGGTGAGATACATAAGTCATCGTTAGCTATGAGATGACACTCTAGCCTTTCCTTATTTGTATGTACTGTGTGCACCTCTCTGGTTGAGAGCATAGAGAAGGGGAGCCCCTACATCAATATCTTTAATATATTCATGACTTGCATTCTTTTTTCTCCTTCCTGTGATGAGATCCTTTGTTCTGGAAGACTCAGGCTGGAACTGCTGAGCAGGTCATGGGGATAAGAGCTAGACTTTCTCTCAATGAATTTGCTGTTGAAGTCTTGAGTCTGGCTCTTTCTCATCATCACTCTCGCCAAGGAAGGTCAGGAGTTGAATACTGGTGTACACAGCAGTAGAAGAGTTCTCAAACTTCCTTCATCTTAGCTCATATATAATATTTTCTGTCATTCATATCTTTTGGGAAGCCCATTGGAGTCTCTGAACTTGATTTGCTACCTCCATAAACCTCGGTTAAGTTAAGGAAGGGAATATGAAATGTATTATTTCTTGATATTTCAATCCTAATTTTTCTGGGGACTGATTGTCTCCAAGGTTTCCATGTCTGGCCTTTGTAGATATTCAAGTTTGGTGATATTTATTTCCTTATTTTATTTCCAAAGTGGTAAATTTTCTCAGAGCATCCATAATTATCTCACAGGCACACTTTCCTCTCAGCCCATTATGTTTCTCTCTCTTCATCTGAGGCAACTTTCGGGCAAGTAGACTGTGTGCTAGGAGACCAATGCCTGGAAAAATACCTGTAGATGACTGTAACTTCCTTGGCCTTGAACTAATTCATGGATGAATATTGTGTCTGTTTATTACACTTTGCAGGGCTAGCTATGCATTTTGTTCAGGACCTACTAGAAGAAGCATTCACTCAAAGTTGATGGGCTATTGTGGTCTACAACCTCCTGAGTAAAGAAAAGATGTAGGTGAGATTGTGAGTTAATATATTTTATTACTGAGATGTCAGACCAATGCCCAGCAGCCACAGAGATTTACAAACCAGAAAGATGAGACAAGTTGGTCAGTGGTCATTAGTAACTTTTAAGTTGACAGATAATACTGATGAACTGTTTATTGTTTTCCCACAGAATATGGACTAAAAAGAGCTCAAAGTCAGGTGTGCATGATTCTTTTCCAAATGTTAATTCCCTGTCACCTTGTCTGTAATTCAGTATTGCTTGTACTATTCTTGCACTACTTTGTAAATGGTTGTCTGTTTGCTAATATGTTTTTGTTCTTTAACTTTTACAATTAAAAAAAAACAAATGCAGATGAAGTGGGTACTTGATTTCTCTAACTACAGGAGATGGACATTCCATCACTTTCACAGCAGGGAAGTAAGAAAACATAAAGAAAAAAAGATGTATACAAGCGCAGCTATTTATGGTTAGTTTTAAGAAATTTCAGGGATTTTTGTTATATATTCCCAATTTGACAGGCTAAACGTCCATGGGACATGCTCAGAGTGATAATAATGAACCTGTGTGATATTAAAGTGTTCTATCGCAGGTCTTTTCCATCAGGAACTTGGTGGGAGTTTACAGGGGACAGACAGATTAGTTTCAAAAACAAAACCAAACAAAGTGAAATAAAACATCTTGTACCTATATGCTCTTACTCTTACTGCCACAAAGAAAAAACTGAAATTATCTTTCTGGAGTCCTGGCTGCTGTATGAGTGGCCTATAGTACATTCCACCATGTCTTTGACTATGCAACCTGTTATTTTTGTCTTCTTTCATCTTTCTTGTTCTCATACATGCACTGTTCCAGATGGGGCTATTCTTTGTTAAGGTTCTAACTTACTTTCTATGGCAAACCCTGTTGCAGGGCTGCCCCCAAAGCAGCAAGAATTGATAGTACTCGAAGCAGCCACGAGCTCTATCTCATCTGTTTCCCCCCTCCCCCAGGGGCTCTGCTGTCAATAGAATATTGCAGATCATCCTGAACTTACAGTGATGGTGGCCAAGGCCTGGATGGTTCCTCCTGTATTAACAATCTAAGAAGATTGAGTATTCTTCAAAGACTCAGAGGAAAGGACACAAAGAAGCTGAGCAATCTCACCTGACTCAGTTTACCCCACCAGACTAGATCTCTATGCTATGCAAAGCATTCTCCATGGGAGTAGAAAACCAGTAGTGAATAATATCCATGCTGTTCCCTTGATAATTTTCCTTTCTCAAAATAAAAACATGCATAGAAACCTGTGGTGTAGAAAACAGAGAAAACAATAATAGAAATGTGTGTGAGGCACAGAAGGTGCCTAGAAGAGGAAGCAATTTTGTTGGAAGTGATTTGTTAGGAAAGACTCTACCAATTTTTTTTGCCCTAGATGGGTTTTAAAGAATGATTAGGAATCCTATATGAGTCCCAGTGGAATTTTAGGCTGAGGAAAACACATGGGTAAATATCTATAGATGTGGCTTGTTTTGAGAGATTTAGGTATTTGTGGAATAAGGGCAGCCATGGAGACAAGCGGAATTAGAAGAAATTTAATGCCCATGGCTTCATTGAGTTTCTGATAAAAATAAATAATCTTTGGCCTTAAGATAACACTGACTGAGTTTTTTTAAAAAGTTGATTTTCCGCATCACATGAACTCAGTGGAGGACAAAGTCTGGGTGTGCATGACTCTTTGCCAAGTGCCGAGCTGGAGCAGGCACCTATCTCCTCCAGTTCCAGGTGATGCAAAGTGGCCTTTCTACTAGCTGTAGCCCTGACTCCACCTCCCTTTCCAACACATAAATATTCCAGGATATTCTTGCGGAATCACAGCTGAGCACTCAAGGGGAGCTCTGCTGGCACAGCCCTGCAAAGGGCCTTACAATCAGGTGGAAGGAAAACTCAGAGGAGAGAATTGCACAAGGAAATTGATAATGGGCCTGATTCCAAACTTCTCCATGGAAACCTGGGTTTTCCTGGCTCTCAGCCTGCTGCTCATTTATCTGTGAGTAACTGTCCAGACACCCCTCCTCTGTAAGCTTGTATTTGGGGTACTGACCAGCTTCTTTGTCCCTCATCTGTACACAAAAAATAAAATAAAATCAAAAGAGAATGGAAGGAAAGTTGTTACAATCCCTGAAGAAGTTACTATTTATCTTAATCAGATCTCTTGAGCATCCCTTTCCCAAGTCTCTATTCTTGTGGCTATCAGTGTTGTTCTTGGGAATGAATTTATTGATTCTCACATTGAAATGAATGAACCAGAATTCAGATGATTCAGACTATGAACAGCTGGCCACTATATGCAGTAGAAACTTCATTCCATTCCCAATCTATAGGAATACTGGGGTCAGAAGTGGAGGGCTTGGGGTTTTGTGCCATTATCTTTGTCTTCTGGTATGTGCATTCCACAAGAGGTATGTGGAGGTATTGTCCCCTGTGGACATGGGTTGTTCCTGTTCTTTTCCTATTATCATTTACACAATGTATTAAATGTACCCCAGAGTTCATGGGGGGCTCAGAGCCTTCTTTTCTGTTTTCTGAGATGATCTCATAACTCTCTATCTCCTAAAACTCAATTCTTCCAGCCTGCATGGTGGAGTACTGTTTACTTTTCAATGGTAATGTTTAGGGTTGAGGAGTAATTAAAGAAGTCTTGAAGTCGCATTTGTTTTTTTATATTTTCCTTCCAGCCTCTGGGAGTTTAACATCAGTATAGAGATTTCCTTCTTTCTAATATGAAATCTGCTAGGAGCCTCAAAAAGCAAGAGTCTGCAAAACAAGTTTGCAAAACTAGTTTGGATTTTAATCTCTAATGTCTAGTCCAGGAGGGTGAATCAAAACCTCTCAGTGAAAGGATTTCTGGCATCTTGGAACAGATAGAGAGATGTTATTTCTATGTGTGGAGAAGAGTGCATCCCTCTGGTCATATTTGATGACAATCTGAATTTCAGTTTAATAAAGAGTAGCAAATCATGATTATGTGTAAATAATAAATACTAGCCTGCTTTAACAAGTACCTGATTGGGAAACAGAGATATGACTTAAGGGAAAAGAAAAAAATATATAAGAACATTGTGACCATAAGCCAGTGATGTGAC